ATTCCATGTCACTCATGGTACTTCTTAATGAAAAACGACGCCATATTTCTGAAAATGGTTATCGTTAATGTAGCTTTAACTTTCGCGCTCATTTTCAGTATTATAAAAAAAGTGAAATTAACCACAAATATTAAATTGATGAAGCCAGAATATTTCTGTCAAAAAAAATTGTACGACGTGATTAATTATACTAGAATTACCATTTCTGTTCTAGTTGTAACTTTTACTATTTGTGGCTTAGCATTGAACATTTTTTATCTTTATCCTGCTGTAGAAGAAGGAAAGACTTACGAGCACGAAGCGCTCTTTTGCAGTGTAGAATTTGGCATTTTCTTTAATTTACTTATGGGTGGAATATTCTTTTCAAGTTTTTTAATTATTTTGCTTATAATGGTATTAATAAAAATTTTCCAGAAGCTATCGGAAGATCTGCAACTACTAAAAATGAATCATCCTAATTTGGAGATGGAATTAGAAGTAATTATGACACAACACAATGAACTTTGGAACTATGCGAAACAATTGAATGGCCCATTTAATTACGTATTCACAATTTTGTACGGTTGTCTAATAGCGGAAACCAGTTTACTTAATTATATTTTGATTTTTTCGAAAATGGAATTTGCATTGAGACTTTACATGTGCATAAATTATGCTACAGTATTACTTATTTGTGTTTTAGTAGGATTTTTACTATCCGCTTTTACATCTACTGTAATTTTTGTATTGTATTAAATACGATATTCCGTGATTTATTCATTTGTAACATGTTTTTCTTATTTCTTTCAGATGCAAACATTGTTTCAAGACATTCGAAGATTCGCTCAATGCGATCTGAAATTCGAACAGAAATTAAAAGTAAAGCTTCTGTTATAAAATAGAATTAGCGATACTTTTTAAATTGCATAAAATTATTTTAAACAATTTTTTGCAGATTGTGAATTTTATGAAAAGATTTGGAAAGGCGTCTTTATGTTTATCTATCAACGGTTTCTTCGACGTTACCAAGAAGTTTCCTATTAAGGTATGCGAGTCATTTAACTTTTACAATATATTAATTCTAAATAAAATATATAAATTTAGAATTATATAAAATATATAAATTTGAATTTGCAGATGTGTAGCGCTCTGCATTCCGTGTATTCGGGTCTCTTAAATTTGAGGACCGTTTCCAAGAAGAAAAACTGCTCTTACTGAGATTTGAACTCAAGAAGCTATCCTTTTGAATATAATTTCCTCTTATAACATTTTAATTAATTCATTTATATGTGATAAATTAGATAAACTATTATCGTTTCTTGTCTCATTATTGTCTATTGTTATAATTTACATTGTTAAAATTAGAATGAATGTTTCAAACAATATTTTACTTAAATTTTCATAAATTGCTTAAATAAATATAAATGTATTATCGATTTTAATATTTTAAATAAAATTTCAATTTTATATTAAATTTTTCAAATAGTAGAAATTTTTAAATGTAAAGAAATTCACTTATTGTAATAACTTTGTTTGAAGCTGAGACTTCACCCTCTGACGGAGGAAAGGTGGAAATAAACCGGTGACTTATATTGTAAACAGGAGCGGGGCTACGAAGGAACGGGGTGCGATACAATTTAATTGTCTAGATCGTGAGATGGATCGCCGGGGAAAGTACAGCGATCACCTCAAAGCAGAGATTACGTATGCTCCCTCAGCAGCTGAGGCGGCGGCGGTGGTTGGGACCGACTGGACCCGGATGCATTTTTTTCGGGACAGGAAAAATACATTTAGCCGAAATTTACGGGATTGTCGTGCTTAAAATAACGTGACCTAACCCGTAGGAGATTGGCACGGGCGGGAGTGTTCTGCGACCCCTCAGTCCGAATTGCGTTTCTAGCAACAGGGCCAGACCAATTGAGTCACAGTGCTGAGAAAGATAAGCGTCTCACACAGAGGTATAGCCCATGTTTAGACTAGAAAAGGAGAAAGAGTTGAGAGTGTAAGAAGGGGTAAGAGTAAGAAGAAGTAAAGTGAGATAGGATAGAGGGAAAAAGCAGCCAGGGTCATGGGACCCGTGGGCGCCTGCATCGCATTTATTAAATAATAACACAGTACAAAATAACAATAGGATTATTACAGAATTACATACAAAGAAATATAATTACAAGATTGGTAGGCGCGACAATAGTAATTTGGAGTATACAAAAATACACGTGGAACAGAGACATATATTATTTACACAGTATAAAGAGGTTAACAGTAGGAGTTGACCGACAATGTCAGATGAAATCGCGGGTTACAAAACAGCTGAAAATGTAAGGACAATAAACACAGAGAATACAATAAGTGGAGACAAGTGGACACCAAAGCGTACCTATAAAAGGTAGCCAAGTCCAATTAAGCCGATACCAAAAGATTCAGGATGATAAACACAGTTCCATAGGTAGTTGAAAGTCCATCACCAACTGTAAAGAAGATACAATCTAGTCGAGCTTCTTGATATCAGCTGCAAATTTCTTCAGGGCCTTGAAATTGTTCTTATCAATAGTGAAGTCTTTGAGAGTGCAATGCCAGTTGAGCCCATTTGCCTGAACAGCCTCTGCCAGTTTCTTACGATGAGTAATGTGGAGGGGGCAGTGGAAGAAAACGTGCACATGTTCTTCCTCTTCCTTCAGGTCGCAGTTACACTAACCGTCAGTCTTATTGAGAAACCTCTTGAGGTAGGAGTTTAAATTCCCGTGACCTGTAAGGAGTTGAGTTAAGGATTCGCTCAATGCGATTTGAAATTGGAACAGAAATTAATAGTAAAACTTCTGTTATAAAATAGGTTAGCGTTAGCTTTTAATTTGCATAAAATAATTTTAAAAATTTTGTACAGATTGTGAATTTTATAAAAAGATTTGGGGAGGCATCTTTATGTTTATCTGCCAACGGTTTTTTCGATGTTACCAAGAAGTTTCCAGTCAGGGTATGCAAGGTATATAGTCATTCAATATATTATTGTATTATATATATAAATTTGAATTTGCAGATGTCCAGCGCTCTCTATTCTGTTTTTTCGAATCTGTTAAATTTGAGGACCGTTTCCACAAAGAAATACTGCTCTTACTGAGATATGAACCTAAGAATTTATCCTTTGAANTGTTACCATGAAGTGTTCAGTCAAGGTATGCAAAGTGTATAGGCATTCAATATGTTGTTGCATTATATATATAAATTTGAATTTGCAGATGTCCAGCGCTCTCTACTCTGTGTTTAGGAATCTGTTAAATTTGAGGACCGTTTCCACGAAGAAATACTGCTCTTACTGAGATATGAACCTAAGAATCTATCCTTTGAATATAATTTCATCTGATAACGTTTCAATTAATAAATCTTAATTAATTCATTTATATATGATTATTTAGATACACTGTTATTGTTTCTTGACACATTATTGTCGAATTGTGATCGATTGCATTGTTAAAATTAGAATGAATGTTTAGAATAATATTTTATTTAAATTTTTATAAATTGCTTAAATAAATGTAAATGTATTTCCTCAAAAAACTCCCGTGAAGGAAAATGCCTAAAGTGAACACTGTATATGGGGCGTCTTAATTCAAATTTGCTTGGGACCCATACAGTTATAATGCGTCATTACTTGCTTTGTATCAAACTACTATGGATATACTGTGTTAACGTGTGTACGATAAAACTGAAAATGTTGAAGATTCATGCTGATTTCTATTTATTAGCAATGCAATTAAACCGTAAAATGTTTTATCGGTATGTTGTTTATGTCATTTAATTTAATATTGTTTTAATTCTGTAATTTTATGTTTAATTACAATTTAACTCCACTCTATCTTAAAATGAAATTATTTATCATTTTAAACTATAAATAATTAAAAATATACGTGTTAAAGTCTTGTTTGTATTCCTAACTTAGATTATATAATTACAATTATCAGTCTTATTTCAATTCAATTTTCGGATGTATGACATGGAAAATATCAATTTTATTAAATTGAAAAATTACATAAAATACTAGACATACATTATACCAGGATAGTGATAAAGTTTATTATTTTATACAATAATTAGACGAATTCTTAGCTGAAACGATTCAATTCTTTTTCTTTTCAGCTGTAATATTTTTGACTATCTTCAAAATATTCCTGGAATTTTAATATAACTTCAATGCACTCAGCTGGATCGTGAAGAGGTAAATCGCCTTTATATTCTTCGGGAAGAAATTGAGAATCGATGAATTTGTGCAGAGATTCAATTTCAGAACTATGTATATGGATCTAAATAATAATATAATTGAAATTAGTTTAAAAAGTCATACATAGATCAATGGATTCTTCGTTACAATATTTGAAATCTGAAATAATCTTAGAAGTAACGGTAGCAACTGTGAATAGGTTAATTAATAAAAATTAAAACCGAATAAATTGAAAAATCCAGCAGCGAGTTGTTTAACATTGCCGGCAACATTTATTTTGAAAGAGGGGATGGGTTTTATAAATATTTATGAATGCTAATAACGAGTAAATTCGTCATTAAGCCAGACCTTACTCGATGTGTAATACAGGACTCCTATTATCTTCCCACACCCTCGATCTTTAATCACAAAAATTTAATGGCATTAATTCGTCTAATAAGTAAAACTCCATTCAAAATTTCAGAAATTTTCGACTGAAAGAACAGGAGTTATTAAGCTTCAAAGAGAGTGAACAAAATCGCGACCTCTAAACACATTAACATCCCTATATACAGAAAAAAACCCCGAATGTTATTTTGCATTTCTCGAAGTTTCAAGGTATCCTGAGTCCAAAAAATAAAAATAAATATTAATATAATATAATATGGGATCGCCCCTTGCCAATGCGCTGGTTAAGAGGAGTTTTCCGTGTTTTCTTCACGTTAGCGACACCTTTATAGGGCCAGTTATCCATAAAAATCTTTCTGGGAGGCATCCCTCTCGGCAGATGGCCCACGTGTCGAGTTGCCCTACACAAATAAACCAATAAACCGATTTAAATATATACGTACCCTTTTTCTAATTTTATACGGAAGAAACGGTCGTAATGCATTGTAAAAAAGATATCCAAATTTTCCAATATTTACAACATGAATTTCCTTATATCTAATTGGAATGGCTGTCTGCATTAAATTAAATAACGAGTATATATTATTCAATATGAATGAAACGTCCGTTGCACCCTTTTCATTCCAAAAGTATTCAAGATTAATACTGTAATATATCTTCAGTACTTTTTCCCTCTTCGCTCTGTGGTCACTAAGAGGGAGTATCTTAGCAAGCCTGTTATGGGTTCTCCAGGTCCACAATCTTGGAGTTTTTCGGCTCCTCCAGATTCCATTCTGGGTTTCCCAGAGCGGTAGGTTGCCACCATAACTGCTCGGCCATCCAGCCATTACGTTCAGTACTTTTAGAATAAAAAGGGTGCAAAGGATTTTTTACTAATCCTGTATATAATTATATAGGATGAGTGAAAAATAAAATTTTACATTTATGATAAAAAAAATGATAAAAAATATTAATTAATGTTAAATAACTTACAAATAAAAGAGAAGTCATGCAAAATATTGTGCTTGGAGTTAATTGTAAAACATGTCTCCACGATAATGTTTTAGCATCCCAAATTACTACCAAACCGTTGACTTGAATTAAATGTCCTGTTAGTCCCGCATCTTGATACATTAACAGGCATTTCAAAACGTCTTTCATGTGTACATTCGAAGGATCCCAGTAGGCTAAAAAAATTATATGTATGTATTAATACATAATATTTTTAAAATATTATTCGAGATTGAAACTGTATTAAAAAGAGAAAAATGTACTGAAGTCAAAACTAGATCAATTTGCATAATATAACTTATTGCGTTAGTTTCATGTTGGTGAGCGGGAGGTTGAAAGAGTTTGAGTCGATGATTAATTAAATATATTGTTTATTAGTATCGAAGTTGTTTTAAACATTGAAATGTAGCAGCAGGACACGAACTTCCTTTATTTATCAAACTCACTTCGGAGTCAATCACAAAATGTCTCTAGCGATACATGGTGTCTTTTAACGCTTATTATTTAAATGCATTCTTACGTAGTACGTTGCGTTACAAATGTTAAATGTTGGTGGTTAAAGGTCAAGAAAGTGGGGAGATAGAGGGCGATTTCTCTCGAGATATGACACTCACTTGTCATATCTCGAGAGGAATCGCACTTAATAACAATTTTACTCGGCTTTTTCTGTAACTCTTTCCTTCCTGTGGGCGCTAAGAGGGTCTTTTTTAGCAATTCCATTATGGTTCCGCCAGGCCCACAATGAGGCGGCCGGGTAGTGCCCGACATATCTCCATGTTTCGTTGAATTACAACTTTAAGCAATGACGTTACTACGTATCTTCCGGGGCCCACCAGTGGCCAAGCGGTCTTCGTACCCTGAATACTGGATGTTCGGACAAGCTGGCCACATGGAGTTTTCCGGGTTTTCTCCACGTCCGTAACGTCTAAATAGGGGCCAATTTCCCTTAAGCATTATATTTATTTATTGTGTGTTTTGTATTGTAGAATTCATGAATAGTTTAAATACTAACACACACGTAAGCGTTTAAACTACACAAAAGTTTGAATAATTTTTTAAACAATTATTATTAATTGATTATTATCAATCTTTTATTAAAGTCGGCACTCAAACCGTTCATGACACAACAGATTCCAAGCAAAGGAATGTATTTAAAGTTTAAGTATATTGTAGAATTCGATGAAATTTCGTAAAGTTCCTGAAAGCTTATTGCACTGATCTATGGTGTGGTGACAACTAGATGGAATATATACATACTAGTATCGTAAAGGTTATCGTTAATGGACAACGTACCTTTATCAGTTATTTTAATTTATGGGAAATAAATGTAATATCATATGTACAGTACGTTCTCATCGCGAGTAGACAAGGCAAGAAGTGATTAGCGACAAGATTTCAGACATCACATGCCCTTACTTTATGGCGTACTCTACTTATTTGTTTTTATACTATACCTCCCATTAGAGAGCTTTCAGAAATTCTGGAGCAAGGACGTTTACATGTTTTCACTAGGCTACATACTGTATTTCTGATAGTAAGTAATATGACTGGTAAATATACTGTAGTTACAGATTATTCGATAGAGTAATAATTGAAGATATACATTTTAGAATTAATTATAAGATATACATACATTTAGATAAATATATAGATTCCGTATACAATTACAAATAATTTACATTTTTAATGATTATTTTAGTCTACTTACGGACTTGGACCAATCCCACAACTCGACCATCTTGATCCGTGTGAGGTAGAAACGAAACAATTTTCGTGTCAAGATACTTCTTAGTGGCCACAGGATTAAATTCCCCGAATATATCCGGATACTTCTTCCTCGTAGAGTAATAATTTCTTAATAATTTAATTGCTCTTTCTTTATCGAACTTTCTGGATCTAAGGAAACTCAAGAGGAACATATCGTCTAATCGACAATTTATATTGTGTTCTGTATAAAATTTAAATAAATAATAAATTATAATTTTTATATAAAAAATTCTAGCAACGAGTTGCTCAACTTTAACAGCCGTAAAAGTAAAATAATTTACAGGCCGAATTAGTGTCAGGCATTTGTATTATCAAACTTCAATTCGATTTAAAGCTTGAAAATGTAAATATAAAAGGCGTTTTTATCACCATAATACATAAACAAAACTTAGGTTACATGAACATATTGCCGATTTAAAATACAATAAAATTAATTTTGTTTTTTTTTTACGAGCATTGTTCACTTTATAACTGTACTATACATAAAAACAAAATAAAAAGAAACAATATGCAAATTATAAATGTGTAAACGAGTTTATTTATTGATTAACGTGGAAGCGCAGAGTGCTAAGCTTAAGCATTATATAGCTGCTGTCCTATGGTATGTGCAATATTAGCGAGGTTGCGGCCGAAGTGTTCATCACTAAAACGTGAACGTCGAACGTCGAGCGCCGCTTATAATAGCAGCGCTCGACGTTCAGCGGCGCTCGACGTTCGACGTTCATGAAAACTTCGGTCGCAACCTCACTATTATAGGTACTTTATCAAAGGTAAAAATTAATGATGCAACGAATATTCGGTTACTATTCGGCATTCGGCCTATTCGGCTTATATTTCGCTATTCGGCCGAATACCGAATACCTAAAAAAGGAGTAATAAATAAATAAAAAAACAGCGAATTAATCATTTTGGTGACTTTTATTAATGCTTACATACATTTCAAGTTCGAGAAAGCGCAATGTTTTGCTTATTTATGTAAAAGATCAAAGGAGAAGTAATATAATTAAGTTATTTTATAAGAGATGAAAAAAGGTAACAAATCAAATGAAAACTACCTACTTATTATGTATTCTAGTCATCTATATACAAGTCCTGATAATATAATTAACGCAGAGCCAAAACTACTGGCGCTAGAAACTTAAAAAATTGAGGGTGTGTTCCTTTTGTAAAGATTAGGCGTGCTAAGAAACGATTTTACGTAATTCAACCCTAAAGGGATGAAAAGGGTAAAAAATTTGTATGAAAATTTTTACTGCGTGGGCACATTTTATCAAAACTTAGGTCATAAAATGTGAAAAAAATAATAGTTAATGATCTGTAAAGCGTTTTTATGAAATCATCCCTTATTATAAACTTAAAAATTAAATTAACTTTTTTGTTTCATTGTAGAAAATTATTTATCACTAGCTGCAAGGACTCGCTTCGCTGGGTTTTTATTTGTTCGTACATTTGTATGCAATATAGTTTTTATATATAGGGGAGATCGGGGCAAGATCGGCATGTTAAGCTTTACTTAAATTTTGTGTAATAAATACTGCTGTAAACTGAAAAAAAAGCTTTGCATATTGTCTATTGGAATGTTACCTTACTATAGAACTGGTTAAAATCAGTTTGGAAATAAAAATAATTAAAATAATTACAACTTTACAAGAAGAGAGAAATTGACGAAGTTGCCCCGGGTATAGGGGCAAGATCGGCAACTTCTCTCTTTTTGTAAAGTTGTAATTATTTTAATTATTTTTATTAAAGTTGCCCCTGGTATAGGGGCAACAGTAATGGGGCAAGATAGGCACGTATATAAAATTATGTTATTAACAATGTATAAGTTGGAATTCACTATTAAAACAAAGAAATACAAATCCAACACCCATTTAATATTATTACAACGAAATGCAAGTTCAAAGACATATATACATGAATAACAAATGCAAACATGTTTTCATTTATCATCTGTTTGATTTTTATCCTTTGCTTCTAATGTGGCTTTATGTTGCCGATCTTACCCCGCTAGTCATGATTTCGAAACATTAAGTACAACCCTGAGAACAGAATGCCAAGCCACGATCTGGCCACGTGAATAAGTTGAAGTTACATCCTTCTAACAGGAAAAGTAACTTTCGTTATCATGGAATTATAACAAAACCTGCCAATTCAATATAAATGGAAAAAAAATATTATATGGAATTGAACGAAAATGAAAATTTGCTTGATAATTCAACTACGCTTGTTGGAGAACAATAAAAACACTACACTCAACAAGCCACCAATAAAACTCAACTGCCTAACCTATAACCAAAGTCTCCTTTTAATTTGTTTTTAAAAAAAAGCGCTTGACAAACTTGCCCCGCATGCCGAAGTTGCCCCGATCTCCCCTATATATAAAAGACTTTCTATATAAAAGTTTTTCTGAGTAATCTAGAATCTAGCTGCAAGGACCCGCTTCGCTGGGTTTTTATTTGTGGGCAAAAAGTAACGATAGTGAAGATTAAGATAATTACATTATAGCCACTCTTACCCGTTTTCACAGAATGCAAAAATTAGATCCCCCGTTTCCAGACTAATTAGAGACCTGGTCCCGATTCTATTTCTGAACGTCTCCTGTTCACGTCCAGTCAAACGAACTCTTTTCAACGTTTCTGGAACGTTTACAATCGTTCTATAGTCGAACCAATATTCGAATTTTATGTTTGAATTCAAATTCGAATATTGTTCGAATTTAATTCGAACATAACATTCGAAATAGAAAACCACTTTCAACCACTCACAATTCCATATCTCCCGCATCCTTATAGCTATTGAGACGCAACCCACATAGTGCACGAATGGAGACTTGGGGCTACCACCACATACAAACAGCATTCATGTGCGATGTGTAGTTTTTGCGGAAAAGTGAAACATAGGGACACACACGTCCATTTATATATATATATATATAGATAGATAACTGAAGTTCCAGACAGCTTGGTAGCCTGAACGTCTCCAGGCTTTCTCCCGTGCACGCTAAGTGACTTTCATTAAAGCATTTAGCTTTCCGAAATTAATGAGAACAATTATTTATTATTTGGCATTCACGGCCGCGAATTTCCGCGCCAATAAGCTGCCTCGACTTGTTCGATTATGTTATCAACTCAATTTCATATTTATTTTCACATTTTTACTTCGCGGTCCTTCTCGGTTCTTTTTTCATTATTTACACGTGTTGCTCATTTAATTGCTATCCACATTTGATATCATCACTTATCACATATTGCCGTGACGCCAATATGTTTCTCCGCTACAACTGTCAAGAATTAACGCGATTGGCAAAGCGTAGTGACGGCGGGCCAATAGAGAACAGGTTACGCGATCCTTGCCATAGTACAGTTCGCACGCCAATTTTCGTATGTGCGTTAATCAAGCTAAATAGTTTGGCCGAATATTCGGCTATTCGGCATGAGGCCGAATATAATATTCGTTGCATCACTAGTAAAAATGGAACTCTGCAAGAAATCTTTCACATAAAAATTGCGCCAAGATATGTAAGATTTTTATTGGAAAAATTTAGCGTTGCATAGTTTTAGAAATTGTAAACTAATTTACAATACACGGTGGTGTTTGGTTTTATGTATGTCAACAATAGATTTAAAACAACTATAGGAAACTTATATCAGGTTTGTATAAAACCTTTTAAAGCGATACTTAGCTAATATTATGTAATAATAAATATTGTTAGAATACAGATGAGAAGCACAAGCCCGAAGCGAGTATTGGCATTTGGAACAATTAGACAAAAGTACATACGAAAATAAAGCGGATGTATAAAAGTCTGGTGTCTAGTATTAACACTTCGCGGTTTTTCAAAATATAATTCATTGCCAATAAAAAATATACAAGAGATTGTAGCACTTTTTCCTCAGTTCTTATCCGAATAACAGTTCTTTGAAGGATAGAGGAAGAGTTTATTCGTTCTTTTGAGCTATACCACGAGTGACATTACGACATTGAAAGAATGTAGTGATGTAACTACAGTACTCTCATTTCACGTCCCGTCATAAGCGATGGCATCTACTAAGTTGCGTCGGACATAGGGGAGCGCTACTTATAAGATATTATTTTTAATCTTGTGGTACATGACCGCTTTTGGCAGCAAGGCTTGACATATATTATGTATATGTTAAGAAGAGATTTGGTAAACCTTTCATTGGGTCAGTTTTCTAATACACGGACAGTCAAAAGATTTCTTATAGAATCGTAACGAACAGGTTGTATTGGATATACATAATTATGAGAAACAATTACATACTTTTCGATGATAAAATCAATTTTTTCATTAAAATTAATGATATAAAGAGGTTTAAGCCCTCACCATTGTCACAAAAATAGGTTAAAATTTATTTATTGAACTTCAAAACATTTTTAAAAACATATAAGATGGCAAATATGGTTTATCGGATCATTCACAATATAATCATCGCTCACGAATTAATAAAAAGACTTTATTCAAATATTTTAAATTTTTACTTTCTCTGCTGTTATAACAGAGAGAAAGTATGGCGGTCCGGCAAAAATGACCCCCCCTAATTTTTACATTCTTTAGACTTAAGACACTTTAAAATGTCGAGAAATGCAGAAAAATTCGGGGTAATTTCTGTATGTATGAATGTTAGTGTGGCAGTATTTTGTTTACCCTGTTTGAAGCTTAATAACTCCAGTGCTTTTAGTCGAAAATTTCAGTAATTTTTCAGGGAAGTTTGTATATTAGGGGGAATTCTGCTTTTAAATTTTGGAGGTTAAAGGCCGAAAAGGTCCGTGTGTATCTCCAGCATGGTCGAACTTAATGATGATTTTACTCGTTATCCTTTATAAATGTTTATAAAACTCACTCCTATCTTTATTATTAAGGTTTTTGCGATTTTATTATAGTTAGAAATATAAACTGTTGTTCGAATAAACAGATAACATATTGGCGCCACGAAAATTTTAAATATTGCCGAAAAAGTTCAGCTACTCGTTTATTTAATAAGCATGCATTTGTGTTTTTTGGATCTTCAACAAGTGCCTTCAGGGTCGGCACCTCCTTGGCACCTTGTAAAAACTGACACCACAGTGTTCGCCAGATATGGAAATCTCGATGGCCGTTACATTATTTATTAACGAAAAACTAAATCGAACAAAAATTTCTTCACCAAATTTGGCTCTCACACTTTGAATAGAAACCAATATGTTTGGAGATTTGTCTATCCTCTCTTCAGATCTGTCGTCAAGCCCGAGCGGATGGCCTATGCAAACGGACAGTTAATGATGACAAACCTTGTGTTAAAGGTAAGTATAAAGTGGATCGGATAGAAACTGTTTATACGCATTTATATAACATAAACATAGTTTATTTACTCGTTAAATGATTAGCAGATGCATAGATAAATTTTTCATTTTCGAGAGTGTGTATCTGTGTGTTCTCCCCGTAGAACTCGTCTCTTTTCCTATAGTAAAGTCTCAAGTAGGTCCAACCTTAATCCTCAGAAAGTCTCTAAATAAAGTTATTATTGTAGTTAAATTATTGTATGAATTCACACACTACGCACAGTTCCGATAGTCTTAGGAATTCACCAATTTGAAGGAATCACGAAACTTCAACGGATACATACATTTTACTCCCTAAAATTATCCGATCGATTGACTCCTCTCTCCATGAATCTGCTGCTCCTTCTCCCTCTTAGTCATCCCCCTTCGAAAGATTATCCAATGGGTTTTTAATGTTCATGTTCCTATTTTCTCTGGAAACCAATCTAAAGTTTTTAGTTATTGTTCTGGAATAGGAAAAAATGTAAAGTTATCGCATGGGGTGATCCTAATAATCGCAGAGAAGGATGCTAACCATAAAATTCCTTTCAAAATTACATTTACATGTAGAAGAAATTATTTTCTTTTCTATCTGTAATTCATTTCATTAATATTTTTTTAAATGTAAGAGAATCCTCACATGTATAAGTATAGTAAAAACGTGTGATAAGGAATTTTAACGTTTTCAAGGGTATTATAAGTTACACAGAGATCCTAAGACACGGAAATGTTATACAATACACAATTTTCTGAGTGACTTTATTACTTGGGATGAGGGGCCAAGACGCAGCGATCCCTAGGGCCCTTTCTATTAAATGGACCAAACTATAATTTACATCAGAAATTGATATTAACGACGTAATTAGAAACTAAAGACGTATATACAGATAAATGTGTTAATAAATTATTATCAGTGCTACGTAATCTTGTCTAAAACGTAACGATCGCTATTTGAACTGGTTTGAATGCACGAAAATGCTGAAAGTTGTGCAAGTAAACGAATTTAATACACTAAACCCTCAAAATATTTAAGTACTGATATACACGACCAAAAGTTTGCATCAATTTCTATCATTAACATGTGTAAAGAATAAGTTTAAAGATACACTAAGCCCATTCAGATTTCAATTTCTTAAAACTTTTTATTTAAGTTCTAATTTGTAATAAATAGCATTTTAATTACATTTATTTATTAATTTGGAATATTTATGACTTAAGGCAATATCAGTAAACCAAACTATCAGTGATATTGTGTATACACAGTTAATGATTGATTATATTAATATTTTTATCATAATATCTACGAATACAGAGATTAATAAGTACAATTGTAAAATGTAAATTTCTAACGTAATTTTAATTAAAATTTTAATAGCGTAGCTTCGTAATTACTCTTGAATGTATAATATATTCCTTAACGTATTAAAAAAAATAATGAATTTTTCCTTACCGATAACCATTTCCTTGAACGTTTTCAATTCATTTTCATTCCACGTTAAGTAATCCTTCCTTTCTTTCCCACTAGAGTCTATTATGAACAAATCTGCACTCAACACAGGAGAATTCATAATAAATATATTCAAAAGTCCAATTACATAACCACTGTTAATAATATAAATAAAATGTTGTTTACATGATAATGAAAAGAAAAAATCATTCACGTATTTATAGTAACAAGTATTTCACGTAAGAAATTTCTTTAACAAAGACTAATTTAAAATCGTTACCTGTTAATTGAATTTTCCAGATATTAATATTAAAAATGCGCTATTTTGTAGAGAAACTATCAAAATAATTTTTGAACGGTTTAATAAATTGCATATATTACGATTAGATAATTTTATATGTAATCTATAAAATAATACATCTACATAATACAAGTATATACAATGGCCTAATCTTTTATCAATAATTTACGTATTCGTAGGACATTTTTAATTTTGTCTATTATATAATAATAAATTTTTATATATGGAATTTTTATATATCCTAGGGCATTCAGGTGCACCACCTGGAATGCCCTAGGATATATTAAAATTCCATATATAAAAAATTCCATATATAAAAAGACCTTGAACTACGCAGATACACGTGCTTTTGTACCTCTACTGTGTGTGCTGTACATTAAACTCTATTCTAACAAAGCAGTTAGTTTCTTTCTTTATCTCTCTACCACACACTGCACCAGCTACAGAAAATTCAAAGAACTTTCTACTACAATTTAAAATAAAAGTATTTGATTTCGCCATAAATATTTTGAAAAGTCGCTACTTTGTCGCTACTCAATAAACAACAAATTTCCAAATCGTAGAAAGGCTTTATTACAAAACAAATTTTATTGGTACAATACAAGGAAAGTTGTACTCATAATAGTTGCGTTAAACACAATTATTAATAAATAATTGAATTGTTAACAACATGCACAATAATATAATTATAATACATATATACAAAAATAGAAACACGAAAACAACATAATAGGTTTTAAAACAGACCTCAATCGGTATCACTTTCGTTTTCCCACCACTGTTTGTCAGCCTTTACTGACATTAAAAATATTGTTTTTATTCAAAAAATTTAAATTTTTATTTAAAAAAAATAGTTTGCAATCGGAAGTCTTTTAAAGGCTTCACTCATTCCTTTTTTGGTAAAACTTTAGACATTTCAAAATAAAGAATGTATTGTCAGTATTACATAAATCATTAATCAGTGCTCTTGTGGTTACCCCAACGTTAATATTATCGATAGCAATAGATTATGTGTAATATATACATTAAAAGTTTTCAATATTATCCTCATAAGGCGATAATACATTTCTTTATATAAAATTAGAGGTTAATAATTTAATAAAATAAGCGCTTACTGTGTAAAAATGAGATATTAATGACTTTTTAGATTAAAGAAGGCATTAAATTCATTGAATATAGGTAATATAAATTTAAAAAATAATAAATAAGCTTTGTGAATTCTGCATCTGATTAAAAATAAACTGACATTCTTTGTTTTTTCTTCAAAACATCCCTATGTAATGATGAACGATTTATGTTTTCTTTATCCCCCGGCGACAAAAATATGGAATGAAGAAATACAGTCAACGTGTAGGTATGTTTTCGTAAATATCGCGTCTATAGAGAATTATTNATTTTATGATAATAAATCAAGTTTTGTGTGCTCATGACAGTTGGGGGCTCAGGACTAAAGCTATATTAGTCCCTATGTAGATCCGCCCCTGACTATAGTGATCGGTGGTTTTGCCCAATATGTCACCGATATATTGGGTGTGGAAAAAAGACCCCCTCAGTTCATAGAAGAAAAAAATCAAATGTGTATATATAAATATATCTAATAATATTTCCTTACTATATTTTTTATATAAACCACACATATTATTATTAAACATAAATATTTTGACAGCTTTGTTTTTTTTTTCTGTCGGTAACTAAACAGTTGTTTTTAATTGAGCCGACCGTCAATTTAGCCATGCACAAAATGAGGCTAAAATGTTGATGAGAAATGGAACCCGACAAAGAACGGTACAATTGACATTTTAAATATTGTTAGAGTTGTTTGCTAGAATTATAATCCGGATCGTCGACATTGTAAATAAATGGCAGTTTAGAATCTGAGGGACTGCATATTTCATAATTGAACTAATAACCAAGAGTCTTCGTCTTTCGAAACGTTTCTCTTGAATGTTGTGACCTTTGCTGGTTAGATGAGGGCAATGACGACCAGAATTTATTTTAATATAAGTATTAGGCTCAAACCTCTTGATTGATCGATTTATTAAACTGGGCTATCGCATAGCTACTAAATGGATTGTGTCAATTGTGATTATGTTTATAATTAACAGACAATTATCGTTAATAAGGTTGATCGTTCAGAGCTGGCATGAGATTTAAGAAACATTATTTCAAGAGTACATAATAGGCCGAATTCATGAAGAACAGAAATTTATTAAAATATATGATAATCAGAAATCATTCACGAGGAAATACAGAAAGATTTAGTATATATTATATTTTTATAGCAATAGTTCATATATATTAAAAAGGAATAATTTGATGAGTGTTGTCTTCAATCGAAATTTGATTGATATTTCTTTACTTTTTCTGCCCTTTTAATATTAAAACACCTGATATTAATATGCGTATGAACTAACATATTATAATTATTTACAATTTTAATATAATTCTAATTAATTAAGAATACGAAATAATAATTGTTGTGTAACATGTAACGAATAAGATTTTCAAAAATCGTTAAATATTTAACAGCAATACGATTAAATTTAAGTCTAATTCTGTATTTGCTTACATCAATATATCATGTTTCATTCATTTAGCGATCAGTGCAAGAAATAAATTCATATTTAATAACGAAGNTCCATTCTCATGTAAAAAAATGGCTTGCTTTAAACACCTCGCTTTCATGGCTGGTTCCTGCTTGATTTTTCATGAGATCAGCATGTATCTTTTTAGCTTTCTCGCAAATAATTGCTTCTGATATGCTGTTGCCGGCACACTGTTTTTCAGTTATCAAAAGCAAAAGCAATTTCTCAACATGATCTAATGTCTTCGATCTCTGTTTAGAAATTTATTTAACCCGTTTCACAACTTTACGAGATTTAATAATGTCTTTATTTTTCACAATTGTCGATATCGTCGTTCTCGGAATACGGTATGCAACAGTTAAATCTCGAACACGCATCCACCTTCATATTTCTCAACAATATCTTTTTTCAGTTCCATTGTGATTTTAGTCATTTTTTTTATTTTTCTGTTGCCTTTTTGCAATTCATGATTAATAAAAATAATAACATTTTACTTACAAGTTAAAATAAAAAGAAATTTGACAAAGTTATAAACTGTGGCACCGAGAACGTCTAGTGTGGTCTAATACACCGAAAGTGCTACTTGTTCATAGATGGGGCTTATAATTGAATTAAGTCGTATACCGAGTAAAAGTCGTATACCGAGCAAAATTTATTTCGTCCAAACAGGACGTATTCCGAATTGGACGTATTCTGAAGCAGACCTATACCAAGGTACCACTGTATATACAGTAGACCCCCTATAACGCGAGTTCCTATAACGTAGATTCCTATAACGAGGCGAAAAAATTGCGACAGTATTCGTATAAAGACGCTAAATGGCACGCGTAAAACACGGAAAAACGTCATCGCCAACTCGTCATCGCGGATGAGCAGCCGAACTACTTTCCGCCGTCCAGCGCCACGCTACGGAGAGTTTAGGCGGGTAAGTTGAGTTTACTATCGTCTGTACAGTATGTAAATTAGGTACCGTAAGTCTAATATAGCACTAATTTTATACATTTCTTGTGAAAGAAACATTTCTTATTAAACGAACATTAAAAATTATTTCTATCAATGATGTGTCCAAAGTTCAACGAATTTTTCGCAGAAAAATAACATCAGAAACCGCGGCCGCCGTTCGGTGCGTTGCTCCACGACGAACACAAGCTTAAACAATGGCGACGTCCAACGGTGCACACTCGGTAAGTAATCCTACAATTTTTGTTTATAGCATAGTTTATACGGATTATTCCCAAAAAATTATACGTATTTTGGAAATGTTAAGTCGAATTAGTCTAGAATCGATTAATTTTATGGAAGAAAACTTTTCAAACAGCCGTAGTACGTAAACTTTACTCGTGTCGGGCTGCGATTGGCTCATGTATTTAAGGATTCCTACAACGCGAAAATCGTATAACGAGGAACGTATCTCCGCGTTATAGGGGGGTCACTGTATATATATATATATGGACATGTGTGTCTTTATATTTCACTTTTCAGCCAAAACTACACATCGCACATGAATGGTGTTTGTATGTGGTAGTAGCCCAAGTCTCCATTCGTGCACTATGGTGATTGCGTCTCGATAGCTATAAGGATGCGGAAGATACGGGGGATTAAAGTGGTTGACTTCGAAAATTTTCTATTTCGATTTTAAAAATGTTCGAACCGTTTTAAATTCGAATTTGTATTAGAATTCGAATAGGTTCGATTATAGAAACATTGTAAACGTTCCAGAAAATTGATCAATTTGAAATAGTTCGTTTCACTGGACGTAAAAATTCTCTAATTAATCTGGAAACGGGGGACCTAATTCTTGCATTCTGTGAAAACGGGTAAGATTGGCTATAATGTAATTATCTTAATCTTCACTATCGTTACTTTTTGCCCACCGAAGCGG